ATAGCGATTGAAGTAGATGAATTTGTGGCAGATGTTAAGATAATTCTCTTAATAGAGATGATTCGAAAGATGAATAATAAAGACATTCAGTAAAATTCTCTCACCTGTCTAGTATGTGTAATCGGTTGGTGGTTTGGATATCTTAAAAGTTTAAATTTTAATAATAATATTTATAAATTGCTATAAACGATCCAGAGAGGAGTGACTCAAAAATGGCTCATGCTGGCAACGAAATAAATTCTGTCATAATTATTATCATTAAATAGTAGTAGACAAACAGTGGAAGAGATTAGTAGAAGTCAGACATCATAAGGGAATTGGGAAAGATCTTAAGAAAAAAGGTCTTAATTGACAATTAATGTTGCGTACACGGCCATTTGTATCTTAATTAGTAATTAGTTCGTCTAGAATCAAAAGATAATACGATACTAGCCAACAATTCCTAAATAGTCTACCCTATTTTAAAAAATCAAAATACTTTACCATTTTTCAATAATCTCAAATATTTTATCAGGTATTTTATGCATTTCAATTGTCTCTGACTTATTAAAAATGTTTTTTTGCGTGTTTCGTTTTTTCGTAAAATAAAAAATCTTTTGATCAAAAATAAAAAACGAGAAAATTTCTCTCATTCAGAGACAACGAATGCATAAAATGAGTAATAATAAAGTTTAAATTACCTGAATTAAGCTCTCGGACCAGAGTTGACATGGCATTGGTGACACTGTCAGCAGCAACTAGTAGATCATTTCTCAACGATCTTCCCAAACTATTGTTTGCACTGCTTGATCCACTGCCAGGTAGACTGTTTGTCCTGAACGCAGACCTGACATCGAAAATCTCTATTTTCTTTGCGCGAAGAAGCACCAAATAACGAAAAGAACAAAAAATCAAGACAACGAAAGATTTATAATGAAAATCATCCATGACATACGTTTCAAGTGAATTATTTATTGCAGTAAGCATTTCAACAATCTTTCGTACGTCTTCATTCACTTGATTTTCTTTACTCTCTGCTCTTGCTTTAATTTCACAGATCGAAGGGGTTTCACATTACACCAACTACGTGCTAGGTTTTCATTTACATATATTTTTTTCTTATTCTTCGAGTTTTTCGGGTGAACTCTGTGGGGGCATTCTGGCTTCTACGGTTTACACTCGGGGGTGGGAGTAAAAATTGTGCCACAGGATTAATTTCAGCGATTACAGTTGAGAATTACGATATTATGGTCATGCGACATTCAGGATACATTGGCAGCTTTAATTGTTTATTGTTTTATAACTGTCGAGCATTATTGGGGCTTCTGAGAGTACTTGGTGCAAGTCGAGCATTCCGAAATGATATGAAGCGATGGAAAAATCAAATCAGCAGAGAGTGATAACAATTCAACTTGTTCTTTACTCGAGTTTTCGACAAATATCTCTGAATTCCAAACAGATAGCGTAGTTTTCGTCAGGACCTCTTTTGTAGACTGGAATGAGAACTGTAAAAAAGGTAGTTACGAAAATTTCGCTATCTCTTCTAGATTGAGTGATATTCCTTGAAGACTGCCCGTTAACTAAATCGATTTGTTATAATTTATCGCTCATTGCTGAGATAATTTTCCAATCAACATTAAAAATAATTAAACTCAAATAAAAATCAATAACAGATGATTTAGTAATCAATTAAATATTTATTGAGCCGATGATGTCAATCAATAATAGATCGGAATAGATAACGAAGCAATTTACATTTAATCATTAGTTAATGAAGAGGAAAACAATCATTACAAACAATAAAATAATAATTGAACTCAGGAGTTGTCTTTACGACGGAAATCTACAAAATTAGCAACATAATGCTTACAGTTGAGAGGAGATCGCAGTGAATTTTATGCATAATGTCGCAATGTTGGGAATATATCATGACAACTGGCTTTTTCATCTAAAATTGTTTAGGGCTTTTAATTCGATTTACATTTTACTTTTCTCAAGGCAAGAATTCGAATTATTCGCCCTTTTAATGCGAAATTGCATCAAGTAAAACAATGAAAATTCAAAAAATATATTTCCACCAATTTTGCGGGATTCTATCAATTTTCCATTAAATTTCCAATTTTCAATAACGAAGCTATACGGGACTTATAAAAAATCTCAACAGAACCAATCTATCGAAGCAATCTGATATTTAAAATGATTTTCCTGAGAAAAAACAGTCGAAAAAAATGTTGAGAAATTTGAAAAAAAAACAACGCGAAAAGTTCATTTTTCAATATCTACCAAATAAACACAACAAAAATACCAAAAGATTGAAATCCTCTTGTTGATCGAAATTATTCACAAACTTGAAAATTGAAAAGAAATAATCATTTAAGGCCCGTGTGGACCATCCGTCAAACGTCATTTATTGTTTAAATTTTATCTTTTTAACCTGAAATACATTAAAATTTGGGATCAATTTTGTGTTGCGGGAAACACTTGAATGAACATGAAAAAATATCGAAAAAAAAAACAGGAAAAATTATTGAAGGGCGCTAAAGATCGATATTATTTAAAAGGGATTTACCAAGTTTGCTAAAAAATAATAAAAAATTCCGTAACTTACTATTTCATCTAGCGGTCACTCAATCTTCTGGAGAGCAATGGTAAGCTGCCTAATTTTTATTATTTTTTTTTGTAAACTTGGTAGATCCCTTTCGAACAATATCTCTCTTTAGCGCCCTTCAATAATTTTTCCTCTTTTTTTTCATTATTTTTTTATAACCATTCGAGTAGCTCCCGCAACACAAATTTGATCCCAAATTTAAATGTATTTTATGCTAAAAAGATAAAACTTAAACAAAGATGACATTC